ATCAGTCGATTGAATAAAGCATAAATGGACAGCTATTTATTGAGTTTGCAAATGACCTAATGGATCCCAGCGGAGATGTTTAACACTTGAGAAGGTTAAAAGCATACGAAAAAAAAAAAGTAAAATGCCCTTCGTCTGAATTGTTGTTTCAATCGATAAATAAAGAAATGCCATTCATGTTGAGCCCTGCTCTTGTTGTGGTGTTGGGCGCTGGAATGTTGTTGATATATATATAGATATATATTTTAATGAATTGTGCTTAAAATCTTGTATTTTTAAAACGTACAATTAGATTATTATACTGTTTTCCGCTGTATTAATTTTATTTTATTTTTTTATTTTACATAAAACTACAACCATGATCTTGCATCCCTAAGAAATAATTTCAGTGACTGTTACTAAACTTCAACAGTTTATGTATCAATGAGAATGTTACTGTTAAAAAGAGATCCATGATTACGTATATGCCTCAAACAACACATTTTCTTTATTAAACATCTTCTCGAGCAGCTATCTCCTTAATTTTAATTACGAACCGCCATTGTCTATGAATGATGATTAGATTTTATCTGACGTGATTATTTTTATTTATTTATACATGTTTTGGGCTCTTCAACCACTTGGGTAATTTTCGCCCTATATTACAATTTGATGAATAACTACACACATAACTCAACTATAGCTAAGAAATACAATTTAAAGTTTGAAAAGTTAAGAATAATTACAGATGATTATGATAGTACAATTGAACTAAAATTATAAAAATTGAAACTTAAAGATTTAATAGAAGATGAGATAACAGAGACAATAAAGATTAATGATATTAAGAATAAAAGCTAAAAAATACATTTTTAAATAATAAAAATTAATACTAATAGAGGCGAAGTTAAAGAATACAGTTTAAACATTAGAAAGTACAAGAACCATTAGAATTAAACATTAAAGATTAGAGAAAGATAAGTTAACAGTTAACAAGGACATTTAAATAAAAGGTTAATGATTTCAGGAATATTATCTAAAAATACAGTTTAAAAAACAGAATTAATATTAAAAGAAGAAAAGTTAGGAAGTACAATTTAAATATTAAAAATTACGAGAAGAAAAATTGAAAAACCATTATAGTTAAAAATTATGATTAAAAGAGGAAAAATTAACAGGTATATTTACAATTTAAAGGGAACATACAAACTTAAAAAACTTAACATTTACAATTACAAGGAGTGATAAAATTTTGTTAAATATTTTGATTTCCTTAAGGAACAATATTAAGTTTTTAATAGCATTGGGGTCCTTTTGGAGTGATTCTTCAAGGCTATTTCTGAGAAGATGTTGATCCCTAGAAGATTGGAATGCATGACATTCGCTTAGGATATGGTTCACTGTAAGAGGTATTCCGCAGGAAAGACATTGAGTGGGAGAGTCTTTCCTCATTAAGTACTCGTGAGTAAGCCTAGTGTGTCCGATCCTTAGCCGGGTCAGTACTACTTCTTCCCTTCTGGTCAGTAGGATATTTGGAGTGACTCTCCGGACGTATGGCTCCACAACCCTTAGCTTATTATCTCTAGTGGCAGACCAAGTTATTTGCCACGCCAACCATGATTTTTCTTTGATTAAAGAGACAACTTCAGAAGGTTGAGTGGTGATGATAGGTTGACCTTCTTTGATAGCTCTCTTGGCCATACTATCTGCCATCTCATTGCCTTTGATCCCGACATGACTTGGTAACCATAAAATTTTTACCATACATCCAGCCATTTCCAATGTTTTAAGTTTGGTTAGAGTATCGACAACTAACCAGTTTTGAGAAAAAGGGTCCTGTATCGATATAAGGGCAGATTTGGAATCTGAACAAATCACGACGCGGCTGGCTAGTTTAGCGTCAATGAATTTTACGGCGCGGTTTAGAGCAGATAGCTCAGCGGTGTAGATACTACAAATCTGAGGAAGGGATAACATTATATGATTTTTTCCCGACACCATAGCAGCGCCTACTCCTTCTTTGCGTTTAGACCCGTCGGTATAAATAAATGTCCATTCCTGATGGGCGTTTTTGAAGCTATTGAAATCTGTTAACGGTATAATTGGCGAATTGCCTTTTGATTTTATTTTGTTAAGTTTAGGGATAGGGAGTGACCAGGGTTCTATTTTTGGATTTTCGAATTTTGGTATGGATGACAGTGCTAGGTTTAAGTCAGTGAGATAGGATTTACATCTTTCTGGGAACGATGGGCGGTATGTTTTGTGATTTTGAAGTAAGATTATATCTTCAGAAAACAGACGATTTAGAGGGTGCTGGGGGCGAAAAATTACTTTTATGAAATAGGAAAGAGAAAGTGCCTTTCTTCTGAAATCCTAAGGCATAATTCCTGCTTCCACGTGTAGGCTTACCGTTGGACTAGAGCGAAAAGCACCTAAAGCTGATCTAAGAGCGGTGTTTTGGATTGGGACTAACATTTGGTATTTTCACTGGCTGAATCGTAAACTATACTGCCATAATCAAGTTTACTTAAGACGAGGCTCCGGTATAACATAAGTATGCTTGTTTTGTCATTTCCCCATGAATGGCAACTGACCGTTCTTAACAAATTGAGTGACTGCAGGCGTTCACTTTTGATTTTTTTTATGTAAGTTACCCACGTCAGATTTTTATCAAATGTTATTCCCAGGTGGTTTGGATTCCTGTGTCTCGTGAATAATATTACCTGGGACTTCGTTTTGGATACCACGAGCCCCTTATTTGCGAACCACGCAACAACCCTGTTAACGGTGTTCTGTATAGAGCTATGAATGTAGGGCAGATTTTTCCCACTCAGGTATAATACTAAGTCGTCTGCGTAAAGTAGAATTTTTGCTGGTAATTTAACTTCTTCTGCAATTTTATTTATGACCACATTAAATAATATGGGGCTAAGCACACTGCCTTGTGGTACTCCGTTTTGCTGTTCAAAATCCGTAGATATTACTGTATTGCACTTCACTTTAAATTTACGATTACTTTTTTTTTTTGCATTTATAATGGTTTATTGATAAATATTACAATCTGTCTCAATAAAGGACTACGATTACTTAGACAATTTTTTATGAATCTTAGGATTTCACCGTTTATTCCCATATTAAGTAATGCTTTAATAATGTCATTGCTTCTAACGGAATTAAAAGCATTTTCGATGTCTAAGAATATTGCTAGTAGGTGGTTTTTGGAATTTCTCGCTTTTAATATTTCTGATTCTAATTTTATTATATTGTCTACAGTACTGCGCCCAGCACGAAATCCACTTTGCCAAATATTTAACTGATATTTCCTTTCGAGATACCATTTTAGTCGAAAGGCAACCATTTTTTCGAAGAGTTTACATAGACAGCTAGTCAAAGCGATCGGTCTGTAACAAGATAAAAGTTCTTTTGGTTTCCCTTTTTTTAAAATCGGAACGATGTAAGCCCTACACCAGTCGTCTGGGAAAAAGCCTAATTTAAATGCTTCATTAAAAAAATTATGAACACTAATTTTATTTATGTAAGATAAATTTTTAATCATGGAGTATGTTAGACCGTCAGGGCCTGGGGAACATTCTTTGCATGACTTGAGGGCAGCATTGAATTCGAAGAAAGAAAACGGGAGATTTAATGGGGATTTGTGTTGTGATAGGATATATTCGTGATATGGGCTATTTGTACCTGAGGAGTTATAAGATATATTTGAAAATGAAAGTCTAAAGTGTTCACCTAAGGAGTTAGCAAGAGCTATCGGGTCTGTGGTGAGTCTATCTCGAGTGATTAAGAGGTTGGGAGTGGACGCGCATTTTCTTCCCATGATCCGTCTTACGGTGTCCCAAACTTCCCCGATTGGGGTGTTTATGTTTATCTGACCAATGAAGTTCTGCCAACATTTCCTTTTGCTATTTCTTATGACATACCGTGCATGAGTTCTACTAGAGATATATTTTTCATAATTTACTGAGTTTGGGTTGTTTTTGAATTTTTTCAGAGCTTTTTTTCTATTTTTGACAGCTTTGCTGCATTCCTTCGACCACCATGGGACTGAGATTTTTCCATTCGTTGATTTACTCTTAGGGATAGAACATTGTGCAGCGTGAGTTATTGTCTGTAGGATGATTTTGTATTTGCAATATACAGTCTGGTCAGAAATCTGTAAATTTAGAGAATCTGTTAAGTTTTGATATAATTCTCAATTTGCATGTTTAATGAGCCAATGACTATGATTTATTTTAGTAGGAACTCTATCAAGAAATTTTATTTGGATAGGAAAATGATCGCTACCGTATGAATCTTCTATAATGCACCATTCAAATCTTGGAGATATAGATGGGGAAGCTGTTGATAAATCAATGTTTGATAGATTACCGGTCCTGGGGCAGATATAGGTATTAGAACCGTCATTTAGGACAGTTTGATTTCTCAGTTCTATGAAATTCTCGAAGAGTTTTCCTCTGCAATCAGCGTGAGATGAACCCCAAAGTGGGCTGTGACCATTCATGTCACCAAGGAGGAGTACTGGTGTTGAAAGCTGTTCATATAGCTCGTCTAATAATTCTACGGAGGGGCTAAAAGGCGGAGGAGGAAGGTATAACTAACATATTTTGATCGGGAAAGGAGTGAATATTTTAACTGCAACTGCTTGGAGTGGATACTGTATTGGGATATGGGTGCAGGGGATTTCATTTCTTACTAAAATGCAGACACCGCCACATGCTTTAAGGCCACTTGTTTAATCTTTGCGAAATATGTCAAATTTTCGAAATACAGCAGAATGTTCTGGGAGTAAATGCGTTTCTTTTAAACTTATAATTACTGGGTTATAGCGACTCACTAATGATTCTAAGTCATTTTTATGATATCTGAATCCTCTAATATTAAATTGTAATATTTCCATGTTAATATTAATATTTTAAAAGATAGGAATCCATAAAAAAGTTTTACTGTTTTATAAAGTATTGATTTTGATTTTTAATATTGTATTTTAATTTTCGTCCGTGGTATTTTTATTTGAGTTGTTTCAAAGCTTTTGTTCTCTTTCGTTGTTGTTGAGGAGCTGGAGATTCAGAATTGAGTTTGAGAGGATTTGGAATGGATTTTGTGTTGAGGAAAGGATCTAAGTTTTTATTCGTTCCGGATAGACTATTGTACATATCTTCTTCAGAGTTACCAGATTCAGTGTGTTTTGGTTTGTCTGTCTGTTTTGGGGTTAAGTGGATTTCAGTGTGATGTGGTTGATATGTATTGTCAGTTTTATTTTCTTCAGAATTTTGTGTGATTAGATTTGTAGGAGAAGGATGATTTGTGTTATCAGGATTTTCAGAGACAGCCACATTGAGGATGGAGGGAATCATACATAATTTAGTTTCTAGCTCATTGATTTTAATTGCCAGAGAATCTATAATTGTTGTTAACCTGTCTATTTGTGCGTTTTGGGAAGAATTTGGAGAATTTAATACTTGGGAATAGGTTTCCCTAGAGTCCGAGACTGTATGAGTTATCGCTTCGACCTTCTTTTTCGCTATTATGTACGGAACCCGTTCTGTAACTTTTACTGTTTGTATCTGATTTTCTTTTAAGAAATATGGACAGGAGCGTGACCAAGCTGGATGTGACCCTAAGCAGTTGATACATTTAATATCACTGCTGCAGTTATTTTCGTGTTTGGGGTTACTACATTTACCACTAATATTTTTTTGACAGTTCGTGGAAGTGTGGTTAAAAGCAAAACATTTAAAACATTGGAGAGGGCTAGGAATGTATGGCCTTACTTTTATATTTAGAAAGTCTAGCCTAATATTACCTGGCAGTTAGGCAGGCTTTTCAAACGTCAGGATCAATGTTGGCGTAGGAACTTTCTGGTCGCCTGCCTTCCGGTATATTCTTCTAACTTCGATGACTCCTTCTTCCCGTAGTTCGTCCTTCAGTTCCAGTTCCGAGCAGCCGTTTAGTTCTGGAGAGTAGATCACACCTTTTGAGTAGTTTAAATATCTACGCAGGGAGAATTTCACTGTATTATTTTCGTAATTCTTGATATTGCCCAGATTAATGAAATCTTTTTCTGAGTTTACTTCTAGAAGTACTTTTCCATTTTTGGTGAATTTAATATATGCTTACGGTGCGTAGCTTTTTAAAAATCTACTCACCTTGAAGGGAATACACTCCTTGGATGATTTATTGTCCTCTAGAAAAGACATTTCTAGATATTTTTTCGTCCATCGTTTGCTTTTTGAATTGAATATCTAAATGAATTGAATATCTACGCAGGGAGAATTTCACTGTATTATTTTCGTAATTCTTGATATTGCCCAGATTAATGAAATCTTTTTCTGAGTTTACTTCTAGAAGTACTTTTCCATTTTTGGTGAATTTAATATTTGCTTACGGTGCGTAGCTTTTTAAAAATCTACTCACCTTGAAGGGAATACACTCCTTGGATGATTTATTGTCCTCTAGAAAAGACATTTCTAGATATTTTTTCGTCCATCGTTTGCTTTTTGAATTATAGTTTTTAAAAATGTCAGGAGGTTCAGGTTCGTACGTATTTGTCATTTCGCCTCTCACTATTTTCTTAACTGGTAGCGGTTAATTAGGTTATTATAACTAGGTTATTAGGTTATTACTAAATAATTAGGTTATTACAACTAGCGGTTAATTAGGTTATTATAATTTCCAGTATTATCTCAGAGTTTGTAACTATAACACACTATAACTATGACAATAACTAAACAAAATAAAAGTTAAGTCGCCACTTTCCGGTCGAACGAAAGTAAATAAACTTATTTTCTTGGAAACCGAACAACAGCGGGCCTGTTGTACTGAGATCAAAGCCGCAAACCGCGATGTGCACCCTTCGAAGGCTGGAAGGGAACTCCCTGACGTGATTAAATTGAGCAGAAAATAAAATATTAATTATGATAAAACTAAAAGTATAAATCATAATTTTCTAACGTTGCAAATGAATCAGGTTTCCAAAATCGTAAATGTCTTTTTTAAACTGTTTGCTATTTTACATGTTAAGAGTTATTTGTTGGTGAACATCAGTGATATTGAGTGAATACTGTAATTATTAGAGATGATTATGTTAGTTTACTAAATATGCAGCAATTCAAAGTAATCATAATTGTGCATTACTGTTTATGAGATTGCAATATTGTTTTCTCCTCGTCTATAAGTGATACAAAATGCGGTATAACTGTATATAGGTGTATTAGTTTTTTGTGAGGTTTGTTATCCTCGCTCCAGCTGGCTGCTCTATGACCAAATCCTCTTCCATCCGTAAAAGGATTTGTACGCGTGCATACATGAAAATACATGAAAATCCTCAATGAAGACTTGATATTTATTATCAATATGGATATTTATTATATCCATTCACTCCTTCCGTTAGTCTATATTCTGACCTTCTCGTCATTCTTTCTAAGAAGAGGCCTTCATAACGTTGTTATTTACTGCTATGTATAAATCATTAGCATCATAAAGCATAAATCATCCATGATGCAGGATCTTGGTGCCGCTTCCTGATGCTCGAACGTTTCACTAGTTCTTCTTTAATTTTATTTCCTTGTTCATTGAACAGTCATGGTCGTATATCGTTAGTGAGATATGGTTGGTGTCATTCCTTCCAAGGAAGTTTTTGTATTATGACACTTTTTTTTCGAACATGCTATACGTGCTATTCGCTTGTATGTGAAATTATAACAATAACGGATTCAAGTAGGGCTTTCGGAATTTTATTTTTATTCAGGAAGTTTATTTTCTATCGATCCATCTATTAATTTCAGAATAGATCAGTTATATAGTTGTACCGTTTTAACCTTTTTTGTACAACAAATTTTTTAGCACTTTTAGCACATGTTGCACATTTATCAGAAATTTTATTTTTAAGTTTGGTATAATATTTCTAGGTTTTCAATTTTTCATTGGATATCATTATTTCTTGTATAATAGAACATGCATTAATATACGTTCGTTAACCATCGACATTACTTACTTCCTTGGCTCTATAGCCATTGTAGTGCCATGTTCTCATCAGCAATGCCTCTCCAATTCTCCCAATCAGACTCGGCTTCTCCACTATCCAATTCCTAACTTCTGCAAATCATCCTCCATATCATCAATCCATCTCAATCTGAGCCTTCCTCTCCATCTTTTGTCTCCTTGTTAGCCATATAATTGTTCTTCCGGGTATCTATCTTCGCCTATCCTTTCTAGTTGGCCAAGCTATCTTTATACAGTTTGATTTAACATAAGTGATCATGTCTACTTCAATATACATCTCCCGAAGTTCTCTATCATTTCTTTTATTTCCATTGGGTACCAAGACATACTGGCCCAAAGTCTGCTGAAGGACCTTCTTCTCCTAGATCGTAGGATCTTCTCGCATTTCTGTGTTAGCACCCACGTTCCACCTGCGTATCTGACAATTGGTCTCAAAATCGATCTATGAATAAGCGACTTCCGTGGTAGGTTCTGAAAATCCAATGTTTTCTGTAATGCGAAAATACCTGTTGATTCTTGATTTTATTATATACAGTTGACATTTCTCATGGTAATATATTGGGTTGAAACGTATCAAGTTTTTTTTTTTCTTGTACGTAGCTTTAACAGAGCAGAATTTGTTTTTGTTGTGCATAAATCCAAGGGTATTTTGACGAATATATATCACTGCTTTGTTGATTCCAGATATTTCGAAATACGGTTCGGATCGAAGATTATTATCGTGCCTTTGTTCATTGCAGGTTCCTCGTTTGACCATTAACTAAACTAATATATGTTTTACGTACTTTAGGTTATTTTCACTAAAGATAGAGTTAGTTGCCGAATGACTATAACTGACCGATATCTCGCTAACTGTAAGACTGGTCCCGGGATAACGGAAGCCTTCGTCACGGCACCCTTCCATCAGCATGCCTTCCTCATTCTTCGCGCTATTTCCGCTATACGTCGTACGCCCCTGCGGTGGCTTTATTCCCATCCCACCTGCTCAACGGTTAATGGCTCAATCTGCTAACCTTAATACGATATTTTGAATAATATTTATTACATACTACTTTGTCCATGGGAATAATTCGCATAGTACAATGGTCAGTGAACAAATGGGAACATTATATGGAAACAAGCAAGCTAAATGTATTATAAGAGAGAGGAATCAATATTCATTCAAAATAATAGATCAAAACATGTAAAATTTCTTAAGAATGGTCCGTTTTCCATAGATGACGTACAAAAACAAAAGTTTTATGACAGTTTTTAAAAAAAGTTTTTGAGTTATACACAATACCACGGATGCCCATTTCCCCCTAGGTCGATGGCGCAAGAGCCTCTCCCCCCTCCTCTCATGATATTTTATTGCTCACCTTTTCTTAATACTGGGGAGGCTAAGGTAGAATCAGAAAAATTGTAGATCATATACAATTGCACTTACTGCACTCTGTTCCATGCATTCCCTTTGTCCTTTATTCCGAAAATTCATTACCCGTCGAAATTTGCGCTCCGTCTAAAAAAAAAAATAAAAAATCCTTCAATTGTATCTCCCCCTTAAAAATTTTGATGGCTCAACTTGCGCTATGAAACCTCCTTCAGGGCACCCCTGCACAATACACAATAGTTTCCAGTTCTTCATAGTATTTTCCCTGACTTTTTATGGAAATGTACATATTTTTCACCCCTGAAGGGGAAAATAATTTTGAATGTCTTTAAAAAAAACTAAGTCGTACCGACAAAAAAAACCCAGCTTTTAGAAGTGTATATTAAGATAGTGGGATATTTAACCGGTTACTATGGAAACTATCATTATTAAGTAACGTAATAAGTGAATAATAATGAAAACTTAGATTTTTCCCCTTTATTTAGAAAAAAATTAGTAAAATGAATTGAATTTTATTTCATTAATCTAAAATTTAACTTTGACTTTTTTTTTTTTGTTCTTCCCTACCTCGCCTTTAAGGCTATACGGGATTTTCCTGAGCCGGAGGGTGAGGGCGGGGAATTTAAAATCCCCTCCGGCACCGGGATGCGAACTCATACTTTTTAATCTTCTCAAATCTCTTATCCGGTTGCCAGGCAACTCGCGGTGCAGACCACACGCTTTAGCCCATTCGGTCACCCCGCCCCCATTTAACTTTGACCTTATTTCCTTGCAATGCATCTATGTTATCCATGATTATATGGTTCATAGACTGGTACTAATTTTACTTGCTAAAACCTATTAGGTCCCGTTGGTAAGATACACAGAATTATTCGATGACGTGAGCATTATGTCAATGAATAATTTAAAAATAAATAAAATTAAATCGCCGATTAGTTTCAAAAATTGCTTAATCCATTTTTCCCAACAAAAAAAATATTTCCATAAGTTTTAAATGCATGGATAGATTTCTAGCAAAGCCATAATGACTAAAAGAGTCTCCATCCTATATAAAAATGATAATCAAAGGCGCTTACTGTTTTGTAATTTACATATACTTTCAGTAACTTTGTTTCTAGTTTCTTTATAAAGAAGTATGTCGTACCTTTCAAGAGCTGCAAGGAGAATACATTAGATATATTTCATTTAGCGCTACAATCAATTAAAAGACATGACTTTCAGGCGTTATTTTGAAACTGCGTATTGTAATGTCGAGTTGGGAGGAACACTCTCGTGTGGCCTCTGATTATATCATCAAATCTTAAAACAATCGGTCCAACAGTCTAGGAGAGACTGTCTGCATCGTACCGCAGACGGATGGACTCTTTTTTTATTCGATG